GTCGTCGTCGTCGTCGTCGCCGTCGTAGTCGTAGTCGTAATCGTAGTAGTAGTAGTAGTAGCAGCAGCAGCAGCAGCAGCAGTAGTAGTAGTAGTAGTCGTAGTAGTAGTAGTAGTAGTAGTAGTAGTCGTAGTAGTAGTAGTAGTAGTAGTAGTAGTAGTAGCAGTAGCAGTAGAATCAGTCGTAGAAGTAGTAGTAGTAGCAGTAGTAGTAGCAGTAGTAGTAGTAGTAGTAGTAGTCGTCGTCGTCGTCGTCGTCGTCGTCGTCGTCGTCGTCGTCGTCGTCGTCTTCGTCGTCGTATTGTTACTACTGGTATCATTCCTAATAGTCCTGTTATCATGAGTGCCACTACTATTATTAATATTATTAATATTATTATTATTATTCCGCTCCCTTCTCTCCCCCCAGCGGGCCGAGACGGGCCGCTGGGCGAGCGGATGGAGAGCGGCGAGCTGGGCGGTGGGAATGGTGGGAGGCGAGCGGTCCCTGAACTGACACTCGCGTGGCATCGCTCGGCCGTGCGCATTTTTTACGCGGCGGGGACCATGAAGGAGCATGTTGGGCCATCTTGCGAAACATACGGTGGAGACCCATGTCAGGAAATACCCTGCTTGCCTCCAGAGTGCCCTGGGTACCCTGGGTTTCTTGGGTGTCGATGGCTTCGCTATGGAAAACGCGATATTCCTGCACCGGCAATCAATGGACTTCCTGGGGTATCAGGGCTGGGTTTCTTGTGGAGGGTTTCTTGTGGTCAGGCGCCTACTGTACGCGCACAACACGGAGAAACGCACGGGGAATGGACGGCCGAGCGACGGCAAGTTCGCCGAGCTCTGCTGTGCCGATGGCGGCGCGGAGGAGGAGGAGGAGGAGGCCCGAGGAGTCCGGGCAGAACGGCCGGCCCGTGCTCATCGCCTCGCTTCTGGTGTCGGCGCTGGTCTCTTCACGGGTCGTGCCGTCGATCATGTGCGCCTGCTGCCCCGAGCCCTCCACGACCGATGCTGCTGCTGCCGTCCTTCCCTTGCTCTCGCCCGTCCTCGCGTGGCCTCGCGGCCCTGCCCTCCGCGCCCTCCGCAGCAAGGTGGCGGAGGAGGTCGCCGCACTGTGGGCAGGAGTGGCCGCCAACGGCTCCCGCTTGCTCTCTTTGTCTTGCGGCGTCCGCTGTTCCTCCCTCCTCCTCCCTCCCTCCTCCTCGTCCACCTCCCTCCTCCTCGTCCCTCCTCCTCCCTCCTCCCTCCTCCCTCCTCCTCCCTCCTCCTCCTCCTCCTCCTCCTCCTCCTCCTCCTCCTCCTCCTCCTCCTCCTCCTCCTCCCTCCCTCCCTCCCTCCCTCCCTCCCTCCCTCCCTCCCTCCCTCCCTCCCTCCCTCCTCCTCCTCCTCATCCCTCCTCCTCCTCCCTCCTCCCTCGTTTGGTCCTCCCTCCTCCTCCCTCCTCCTTCCTCCCTTCTCCTCGTCCCCATGTGCTTCAGCTGCTTCCTCTTCTGCTCGAGTCGGGGGGCAGTGGTGAAGGTCCCCAGGCAGTAGCGACACGAGGTACCACTCACCCAGCACTTCAAGCGGCAACGCCCTCAGGGCGCCAGAGACGGGGGCACAGCAAACGGGGTACGGGGAACGCCGATTTCCACGTTTGGCTATGCCCCCGTTTAGCGGGCCCTGGGCGCCGCAAACGGGGGTACAGTAAACGGGGGGGTATATGGAAAAGCCTAAGCCCCCGTTTAGCTAAACCCCCGTTTACGAAGCCCAGGCGCCCTTCGATGCCCAGGGGATGCCAGGCGAGCCCCGCATCCAAATACGATCAGAGGCGTGCGGCGAGACGCGAATCGAATGTGATAAGGCTCTCGGGGCATCCATGTAGCACCCACCTCGCTCAAACTACGGTGGCCATTCGGCTTGATAGCTGTTTTAACACCGTGGTGCTAGTCTCTGGTGATCAGTTTTGGGCCATCCGCCCCAGGCGCGATTTCTGGACACGCGAACGCATTTAGTGTTTCTCATCCTTCGTTGTCTCCTGTCGTCTTGGTTTCCTCTCTCGCCGTCTTTTCTTCTTGTCCTCCATGGTTTGTGCGTCGTATGGTGGATTCACCTTTCTCTCAGCGGGGAAGCTGGCAAGTTTCATCATCACTGCACTAGTTCGGCGGAAAACCCGCCTCGCCCAAGATACGTAAAGTTGGAGATGTTGTCACGATGCGCTGCTACGTGTACCCACGCAACGGGAAGTTTCGGGTCGCCAGTGCGGCGCAGATTACGGGTGCAACCGTAGCATTTCTCTACGGCTCGTCACTCATGGGCGACAGCCTGCGCGACATCAACAGTATCAAGAACACCTTCCCCAAACAATTCCGCACGAAAGGACTCGAGGTCACGGAGTCAAAAGAAGGGAACGATTTCGATTTAAAGTATTTGAAAGTTTACAAGGTCTTCGCCATATGCACCTCGAGCCAGATCGGGTACCCCTTGCCCAAGTGTAAGGACTTTGCCCACGCTCTCCTCACCGCAGCCACACTTATCCAGGCTGCCTCGCACACCTTCTCCACGCAGACTGTGGCAACGTAGATGGAGCGCAGTTCAAGACCTACATGGACTGCGTTCCGCTGTTTGGATCTCCTCCTCGAAAGGTGCGGCTCCACGCAGGTACCCGCACGCGGCGAAACTGGGGAACCGCACGCGGCCACGGGCACAGCCGAGTGCACGTGCAGCGCGCTGGCCTCTGAGATATGGAAGGCGCTCGCGCCATCCATAGCCGCCGAGGCGGGTGGTAACCAAGTGCCCAGCGGTGGTTTGGGACGCGCTTTGGGCAGAGCAGCGCTCCGATCACCACGAGAAGGTCACCGAATGGGCCGTGGAGCGGCTCGACAGGAAACTTCGCCAGCCGGGTAAATGTTTGCCTCTCTTTACGAAGCTGCAAGCAGGCTGTCTGCACGTGAGTCAGATATGTGTGGCATAGCCAGCCCCTCAGACGCTTATGCTGTCGGTGGGGCTGGGTGTTGCCGAAGGCGATCACGTCGTGTCCGCTGCCATTTCGGCTTCAAGTCCGATTCTGCCTCCGGCGCCCGTGTGCATGGCCGACCCCCAGGCCGGACGGGCGCGGCGGCGGCCGGTTCGTGTCTGGCGGGCCTCGCGAGGCCGTGCCACTGCCATTGCGGCCTGACCGACTCCCCTGGCGCGCTTGACCTGCTGGAGACGCAGCTCGAGCGGTGCGGGCCAGAGCACCTGCAGCGCCCGTGCCCCCCGCCTCCGGCCTGCCCGCCGCGTGCGCCCTGCGCGCTGGCGGGGCCGGCGCTCTGGGGTTTCCTGGCCGGGAGCATGCTGGCTGGGCTCGCGGCTTGCAGTCTAGCGGCCCGGCAGGCGCTCACTCCCTCCCGGGTGACGTCGCACGGTGACTCGGTCCTTGCGGCTCCGGCGCTGCCAGCGCACCTGCTTGGTTGACGCGGGCGCCCGGCTCCGCGTCGCGTCGCGCGGAGGCGGCATCGTCGTCACCGCTTGAGGAGGAGACGGCTGCCCACGACGGCTGGCACGGCAGCGCTGGAGCTGGGTTGCTTCGCGCACGTGCGCTGCGATGGGGTCGGGCCCCCGTGCGAATTCTGGCACGAGAGGCTGGTGCTTGCGTGGGTCACGGCCAGCATGTGCGTCGTGCGCACACCCGATTACGACATGTTCGTCGAGCAGCTGCACGCTGCCAGCGTGGACCTCAGCGGGCTGCGCTTCGGCCCGTTTGGGAGAGACCTCTCGCTCGGGCTCGCGGGCGGCCAGGTGCACCGCTTCGCCGTGGCGCCGTCGCCGGCTGAGCGAGCGGATTGCTGGCCGAGGGAGCCTCGGCCGCGATCGCGGGGCGGCAGACGCGTTGGTTGGCTCAGCCCGCTGGAGCCGCCGCCGCAGTCGGGGTCGGGGGGGTCGCCCCCACCGCAGTGCCGCTGCCGCTGGGATACCGGCCACGCCGCCCGCAGCGCCGCGCCTCGCCCGCCCTGGCGGCGCGCGGGCTTAGACGTGCCCGGCAAGGGCCATGCAGTCGGGCGGGAGGTGGCGCTGCCGCCGCCGGCGCTCGTCTTCGGAGGCCGCTGGGCGGTCGCCGTCGACGATGAGTTCTGCGCGGCGTCGCAGCTCGAGCCGAAGCGACGGATGGGCGCGCGCGAGTCAGGCCGTTCTCCAGCGCGGCGAGCCTCGCCTGTTGGGCAGTGCACGCGGCAGCGAGGCCACTCCCTTCATGTCCGATGCCCGCCCGCTCGCGCGCGACTCAGGCGCGCCCGGCGCTGGGCCCCGCTCGACCCGCAGCAGCGGGTCGGGCGATCTTGAGTTCGCAGTCGACGCGGACGGCCTCGACCTGTCGAACCTCGCGTCGATGTGGCCTGATCAGGCGGCGCCAGCTGCTGGAGGAGGCCCGCGCCAAGGATCCCGACAAGGAGGATTTCGATGGTTCGCGCCACTTCATGGGGGAGAACGAGGTCGCGTCCGGCGCGCCGGCGGCCCCGGCGCCGCGCGCCCACGCGGCGGCGGAGTTCTCCCGAGAGTCCGCCATCGACATGGGGCGCCGCGAGGCGAAGGAGGCGCAGAAAAAGCCGGGGCCCAGAGGGGCCGAGGGGCCGGGCTGGCCCGCGCGGACCGAAGCGGCCGGGCTCGAGCTCCACCTGGCCCAGCCGCGTCTCAGCAGGCGCAGCCCCACGGCGCAGGTCGCCCTTCCTCTGGCGCTGTCGGCTGGCGAGATGCCCCTCGCGCTGGCGGGGATGATGCCGCGCGGCGCCAGGGGCGAGCTTTTTCCCTTGCCGCCCATCGGGGCAGAGGCTCCGCTTGAGGGCGGCGACGGCCAGGCCAGGTCTGGACAGCGCTGCAGATTCTTCGGCCAGGCTGCCGTGGCGCGCGCAGATCAGCGCGCCCGAGCTCCGAGCGCCCTTCACGGCTGCGAGCGCGAGCATGAGGGCGCGGCGACTCGGGCGCAGAATGCCGCGCAGCTGAGCACCTCCTCCCCGTCGGCATCGATGGCCGCGGTTTTGCACAGCGACGCCGCGCGGTTCCTGGCCGACTGCGACGCGCCCTGATGGCCGACCGCGACCTCTACTTGCACGAGCGAGTGGATGTGCCCGGACGGCCCTACTTCAGGAAGTTACTTCGCTCTGACTAGGTGGCTTACGTTAATTTGTTGTAGCGCTTGGTGGGCGCTGTAACCTTGGCGGCTTTGACGGCGGCGATGGACGCGGTGGCGCCCTTCTTCGTGGGGAAGAAGGACGGGGGGGTGCGCTCCGCGCTGGACTGTCGCTGGACTAACGTGCGTCTCTAACTAACGTGCCCCCTGCACCGAGATCGCCGCCGTCGAGCCCCTCGCCGGCCTCGGGGCCCCCGCGCGTCGCTCGACGCGTCGAACGCCGCTTCTACCAGTTCTCTGGCCTCGGCGAGCTTACCCGGCCCTTGGGCCCGCCCAAGATCACGAGCTCCGAGGCGGCGGCCCCAGGCCGGCACTTCTCGGATTCCGCGCCTCCGACGTCATGATTGTTCCGCATCTTCGACTCCCAGAGGTCTCGACCCACTCCCCGACCCCGAGTAGTTTTTGGACGGTCTGAAGGCCCACTAGGGGCCCCCAGAGGCCGAAAATAACGAACAACTTCCCGTCGTGATTTTTTCATCGTCTCGAGGGGATCTGGGACGGCGCGCGCATCGCGGGTGCCCTGGCGGCATTTCCAGCGCTGACTGCGCTGCCGATGGGGCGGGGGCGCGGGCTGGGGCCCCGACGGCCCGCGCTGCTCGGGACTCAAGGGGCCACTGCAAGCGCGATCCTCGCGGGGCCATGGGGATCTTGCGGCGCGCGCGGGGCGCCCTGCTCGGGGCGATCCAGAGAGGGCTGCGCCTTCGAGGATCGAAGGAGCTGGCATATCTCTTTCTCGGCGGAGGGCGGCGGAATCGAATTGAGGCTGTCTCCGCCGGCTGATGCCAGAGATGCGCGCCCAATCGGGGTTCCAGGAGCAGGGGCCCCTGCGCAGGGGGGGGCAGTCAGAACGCAGGATCTCGCGGGATCCCGCGGGGCCCAGGGCGCATTGACCCAGGCCTGGATGCAGGGCGCCTCGGATTTCGCAGGATCTCGCAGGGCCTGGCTGACCCAGGTTTGGATCGACCCAGGTCACCACGCAGTCGGGCACGTCCCT